CCTGGTTCGCGAAACGGTTTTTCGCCAACAAATTCCTTTGGGGGTCTCGTGCGCGGGCCAAAGTTTCAGCCTTCTACGTTGCCTGGTTCGCGGAATCGTTTCGCGCCAACAAATTTCTTTGGGGGTCTCATTAGCGGGATCTACGTTGCCTGGTTCGCGAAACAGTTTTTCACCTACTAATTCCTTTGGGGGTCTCGTGCGCGGGGTTATACGTTGCCTGGTTCGCGAAACGATTTCCCGCCAACAAATTCCTTTGGGGGTCTCGTGCGCGGGGTTTAGGCGCGTATGGGGGAAGACCTTAAAACGGGAGGATGACACACGGGGTAGGAACATATATCCGAAGTTTCAGACCCCCAGCTTTCGTGGTTGCCGAGTTGAAAGTGGGTGACAAAATGCGCTCGCTTTGAACAGGTACACACACACACAGCCTCTCGACACATGCGTTTTTGCTGGCTGTAGCAGCGCTATAGCGCTGCTATAGCGCTGCACAGCAAAAACGCATAATAAAAATTACTAATAAGAACACTAGACGTCAGTAACTCAAAATCATATTTATAGCATCCGAAAACTGTAAAATCATAAATGAAAATACGTAAAAAATGCTTAGAGCGTTCGGGAAAAGAGGGTAGGTGCCCAAAGTGGAATGATTTTACACATCCGGGTAGCTACGCCGGGCCTTTCAGTCTTAAGATTTTTTTTATTATAAAACCAATATAATAAACAGAAAAATATTAAGTTTGCGTCTGTCTCTTAGCTATCTTACTGTTCTGAAGAATAATTAGGAAAGAAGAAATAATTATTATGCAACGTATATTTTGGAAAATAGAAACTTTTCGTCTAAAATGCATTTGATATAGACTGTATAATTCAAGGATTTACCTACTTTATTTTCGTTTACTGTTAATATAAAAAATGTTAGGAATGCCCGCAGCAGCCTGACCATCAAGTGATGCATCACTGGTCAAGGCAGTTGAAAATATTGCTAGTTGTACGTTCGCGATTCGTTCATTTGTTTTAGTGGTAAATTGGTACTGGCGTATGTCAGGAGTCAAGACTACCAATGATTTGCTTCTAAACAACCCTTTAAAAAGCTATCAGAAAGCTTTTTAGTGAGTGGCTGTTGCTGGCGTCTTCTATCTTCAAGCTATATCCTGAGTGCTTGTTTCACGTGAAGGAGAGGGTTCTGACTTTGACTTCTCTTCAGCGAATTCCAGGCCTCATTTTTGAGTTAGTAGACGACTAATTAACAGGCCTTGTGCGAATGTTCCGGAAAATATATCAAAATGGACAGGGCACTGTTGCTGTCAAA